TTAATGTAATTATAATAGATGTTTTTTATAATGTGATTAGCAATTGCAATTAGTAATTACTTATTTGATAATGTTTACAATATTATAGATTGAACAAGTAATTTTTTTCATTGTTGTAAAAAATGTAATTTTCTTGTCTTAGATTTTACAACTATATTTTTTCTTAACTAGTGAAGTACATAGTAACAATACAGAAACATTTTCACTTGAATACATATTTTCAGTTATTGTATATAAATAGTAAAGAATGTTTCATGAATCAAAATGCACGTTTTAATGTTATTCGTTTCAAAGTTACCAATAGATTGAAACATTTAAATAATTTGTGTTTTTTTCTAATATTTTCGAATTTTTTGTATGGGCATCGGCATTCCATTCGTATAATAGAATTTCGGGGATAATAAGTCAATTGTTTGATGATAGAATAAGCGTTTCATAATTATCAAAAAATACTATAAAAGGTTGACACCTTTACATTTTTCAAGTGCTATTCGAAATGGCGAATTATTCTAGATCTTTTATTGAAATTTCTGTGATTTTTTAATTTTATAAGTTTGTATGATTTCACAAGTATTTTCATAATCGATTTATATTTATTTTAATTATCATATCATTTTTAACATTTTAAATTAAGTCATATTAATAATACAAGCTCATTTTTAGAGATATTATAAATCAATAATAGAGATATTGAAATTAATAATAGTTGAGCAATTCAAAGTTACGTGCAGATTTTTTTAAAGTTTGTAAACTTTTTCAATACGAAGCATATAATTAACTTCCGTAGATATATAAGAATCGCAAAAAATCGAAAATGATTTTTTTTATATTTTCACGTTTCAAAAGTTTTTGAACGTTTTGGCATACCTTAGAAACAATTTATGTGTGTGTATGTTTGGATACAATGTTTCGTCCACGATTTCGGGCGCACGATTCCACCGATTTGAATGATTCAAAAAGAATTCGATTGCTATTGATGGGAAAACGTGCTAATTTTTCTTTCAACAGATATTTTTGGTAAAGAAGGTCCAGTGGTTTTAGTGATACAATAAAAAAGTAAAAAATGGCGGTCAAAATTGATCCTTATTTCATAGAGATTTTAGTAATAAGTACACATTTTATTCACATTTAAATGGGTTCCGTACCAATATTTATAATATAACCGTTAACTGCAACACATGCGTTTTCCTTTTCGTTTCTAAAACAGCTACGCAACGCCTTTGAATTCAAAGGTTTAAACTTTTAAAACTTTTTAAAAACTCCCAAAGCGGTCCACATGGACCCCAGGGGTCCACGGCAGGAAAAACAAAATTTGGGGGTCCACGAAATAAAAATGGGAGTCCACGGCATATTTAGAAATTATTTAAACTTTAAATGTTAGTATTGAGCACGGGGACAGCTACCCATCAACCTCGCATATCTCAGAAACTATTAAATGTTCCAACTTTAAATTTTGGTCACAATCTTGGTAAAGTATTGTAACAATGTGTGTCAAGTTTCATCAAAATTGCAAATAGCATTTTTGAGATGCTATGTGTTTAAATGTTAGTATTGAGAGCGGAGCCAGCTACCCATCAACCTCGCATATCTTAAAAACTATTGAACGATTCAACTTTAAATTTTTGTCAAATATTTAGTAAAGTGTAGTAACAATGTGTGTCAAGTTTCATCAAAATCGAATTATGCCTTTTTGAAAACGTACAATCTGTTTCAATACCAGCATTGAGAGCGGAGTCAGCCACCCATCAACCTCGCATATCTTAAAAACTATTGAACGATTCAACTTTAAATTTTTGTCAAATATTTAGTGAAGTGGAGTAACAATGTATATCATGTTTCATCAAAATCGAATTATGCATTTTTGAAAACGTACAATCTGTTTCAATACCAGCATTGAGAGCGGAGTCAGCCACCCATCAACCTCGCATATCTTAAAAACTATTGAACGATTCAACTTTAAATTTTTGTCAAATATTTAGTAAAGTGTAGTAACAATGTGTGTCAAGTTTCATCAAAATCGAATTATGCATTTTTGAAAACGTACAATTTGTTTCAATACCAGCATTGAGAGCGGAGTCAGCCACCCATCAACCTCGCATATCTTAAAAACTATTGAACGATTCAACTTTAAATTTTTGTCAAATATTTAGTGAAGTGGAGTAACAATGTATATCATGTTTCATCAAAATCGAATTATGCATTTTTGAAAACGTACAATCTGTTTCAACACCAGCATTGAGAGCGGAGTCAGCCACCCATCAACCTCGCATATCTTAAAAACTATTGAACGATTCAACTTTAAATTTTTGTCAAATATTTAGTAAAGTGTAGTAACAATGTGTGTCAAGTTTCATCAAAATCGAATTATGCATTTTTGAAAACGTACAATTTGTTTCAATACCAGCATTGAGAGCGGAGTCAGCCACCCATCAACCTCGCATATCTTAAAAACTATTGAACGATTCAACTTTAAATTTTTGTCAAATATTTAGTAAAGTGTAGTAACAATGTGTGTCAAGTTTCATCAAAATCGAATTATGCCTTTTTGAAAACGTACAATCTGTTTCAATACCAGCATTGAGAGCGGAGTCAGCCACCCATCAACCTCGCATATCTTAAAAACTATTGAACGATTCAACTTTAAATTTTTGTCAAATATTTAGTAAAGTGTAGTAACAATGTGTGTCAAGTTTCATCAAAATCGAATTATGCATTTTTGAAAACGTACAATCTGTTTCAATACCAGCATTGAGAGCGGAGTCAGCCACCCATCAACCTCGCATATCTTAAAAACTATTGAACGATTCAACTTTAAATTTTTGTCAAATATTTAGTAAAGTGTAGTAACAATGTGTGTCAAGTTTCATCAAAATCGAATTATGCATTTTTGAAAACTTGACCAACTTTAAATTTTGGTCACAAAAAATTAAAAAAAAGAAAAATATAAATTGGGCTCCAAATTGCTTCCACTTTGCTTGCTGTGAAGAAACTTTTACCAAATGATGAGATGATAGCTGAATTTTATGGCAAAGTACAAATCGTACTAAAAAACAGTCTCAAAAAGTTTGAAGTTTGCTATAATTTTTATATCGTCTTCGAAGAAACTATATTAAAAAAAAAAATTGAACCTATACTTTTTGAGAACGCGGCACTATCCGGGCCGAAAATTTTATAAAAACCCGGATCACCAGAGAGAAATCCGTGACTGTTCCGGCGACTTTAATATAGATAGGGTCCATAACAAAACAAAAAACATTGCAAGAGGTCCACGACACAAACAAGTTTGGGAACCTATGGTTTAAAGCTTTTAAAATTTTTAATTAACAGTACGGGATTTGCCTTAAGACACGATGCACCACATATGTCGGGACCAATAAAAACGAAAGGGCGACATTGGTATTTGTCGCGTCAAATGTATCAACTGCCATATGTAATTATTAACGGTCTTTTAATGAGAAGCGATTCTCGTGTAATGAGGGCGACTATAAAATCCTCAGTTTTATGATCTTCAGACAAAACGTTCAGCACGTACAGGAAGCGAGAACACACGAGCCGTTTCTTTTCGACTCCTACGGCTCAGAATGCTTTTATGGGCGATCGCGGCTGAGCACTGCCCATCATTCTCTGTCGTAAAGCCATGGACAAAGGTCATAAAATTTCTTTCCGCCTTTAGCGGAATGTTAGATAATTACCAATACCTTAGGCGTTCGTAAGCAAAACGTTTCTTCATTGTCTTTTTCGCATTACTCGCATAAAGCTTAGTGTGATTCGGAATTAAACTTTTGTTGCAATTGCTTATTATACGGTGGCGATATAAAAGCTTGTTGTTTCAGCTTTCAGGATACTCGAACAACTTTTGTATCCAATGATGAAGTCTATCGGTATTTATTTTACGACTGCTGCACGTATATTGTTTTCTTGTAACGGAGAGAGTACAAATTTCCTACGTAACTTTTTATACTTACATTAGAAAGTAGTACGGCATTGAAAGTGTAGCTGGAAAACAGTGACAACTTAGTGCATATTTTTAATCTTTGAGCTAATAATGGAACAACAACATATGCTTACTTTAATCAGTTATTGATCCGTTCAAACGCTGATACTTTTTCAATTATCCAAACAGCTGCCATTGTAATCAATGCTGATGGTCAAATTGATTGATACGAGTTAATTAACTTCCCGAAGAAGAAGTTTATGTTTTCATCAAAAAATTCGAATCACTAATTTTATGTTTTCTCGACGTTTTAAATCATTCTGAATCGAATGAGACCAAATTTGGAAAAAGTATGTGTGTGTGTGTGTTTGAACAGATTTTTTGCCGTAAATCGACGTTTTCTCGAAAACGGCTGGACCGATTTAAAAAATTTAAAAGCCATTCGATGTATCTCGATGAGGACTATTGTTTGTCAGTTTTGTGCGACGATCGGCCAAGCCGTTTCTTTATAAATCGCAGAAAAATGAAAAATTTTTCGTCTACGTTTTAGCCCGCAATTCTGAATCGATTTTGAAAATTCAAAAACCGTTCGAAAGATATTGGTTGGGATTCGTGCTGATTAGTTTTTGGTAGAGATCGACCGGGCCGTTTTCTTGTAATAAAGTTTAAAAAATAATCGACGATTTTTATGATTATTTTTTTGACGGTTGATACCATAGTCTAGATCATACTAAAATATTACGGCCCTACGACAACTGGTTTTGATTTTATACTTCTTTATCTATGATTTCATATAATTCGCCTTTTTAATACAAATTTTCAAGTAACATGACGTATCGAGTGATATATTTTGCAATTTTGCTCACAAATTTATCCACTTTATACAGCTTTTTGTCTATTATTATATCTTTAACAGGTTCAAATGTTATACGTTTGAATTCAACTTAGAATTTTTATTTTTGACGATTATTTTATAAAACTATGTGTTTATTAATTAGATTATTGAAAATTTAGTTCAGAATCAAATTTTAAGTATTTTATTTTAATATATGTTTTTTTATTACAGGTATGAGTTTTCTTCACTTGCTGTTTACCGAAAATATAATCTGCCTTATGAAATACTGATCTCAAAAAAATGTTGGGAATAGAGTGCACTTTTTTTGTTATTGTAAGTAGAATGATGATGCAAAGATATTTCTTCGTTTTACGCGTAAAGTAATAATTTAATTTATATTGTTAAGTTTGCTTGTCTCAGCTTACAATAAAATAACTTCTAGATGCTTGAACTATATTGTTTTGCAATAAGACTAAGATTTTAAGCCTAATTAAAAAATCTGTCCTTCACATTAGAGTATAAATTATTCTAAAATTGTATTAATAATTTAATCACGTATCTGGACTCACTAAACAAGGCGACTAAAGTGACTTTCGTTAAATTTAAATCGAATTTTAATATTATTTTGATGCATCCTTTCATTTCGAATAGAAAGAATATTTAATATAAAAGGAAATATCCCTTTATACTCAGTTATAAAAACGAAAAAGCTATCGAATAATATCGTGTAAATCTAGGTCATGCATTTGAAAAGCATTTTCCAAATGTCTTGTATAGTTCTTTTACATTTATTATTCACGGCACTCAATTATTGGTAATTTATACGTCATTTTATGATGTTGATATCTGTGTTTTGGATCTATGATGCCGTGAACGCAAATGTCAATTCTCACATACGTGAAGCAATAAATCATGAATAAATGTGAGAAAATTCATCTCTCAAGTCGAATTATCGTGTCATGGACTATATAGGTCGTATAATTATTGAGGTCTGATCCCAAAATTTTAATAATAGCAACGATAGATGAAAGTAGCTCGAAAATTACTAGGTCTAAATATCGGATGGAACTGACCACTAGGCCATCCAATGCTTTGTTTTAATTAGACAGTCAGGTTTTCCCATTCCGCGCCAGTTTGATAGTTAACTTGCTATGTTTGATTAATAGTAAACAACTATCGACAGACATGAACATATAACTTTTGTAGACTTAATATAAATGATTAAATTGTACTAGCTGCTTGTTTTGCAAACTGAAATGAACAAAAATGTTGAATATAAAGAGATATGATTGATGGAAGTAGCCGGGCAATAAGCTTTATCATATTTTTATCAGCGGCGCATTTGTTTATCTGGTAATTTCCTTTACTAATGCAGTCCTGGTTATGTTGAAAAAATTAATAAAAGCATTTAGTTTGCGGTAGTTTTATCTATATCAGTCTATGGCGGATGTTCATCTATCAATTGCCTTTCTAATAAAAAGTTTAGGATTGATCGAGGAAATGAATTGCATTTTTCCATCAGACGTAAATCATTAATATATAGTTATTAAAATACAATTCAATTATTTAATAAGCATCCCACAGTTATTGGCAACTCATAGTACTTTGCATATTTTACTGAGCATCATTTTACATATAATGCTTTGTATATTCATGAGTAATTTTATTTAATAGAATTATATGTAAACGCACACAATATACATTAGCAATAAGGATAAGTTTGATATTACTACACTAGGTTATAAATTAAAAACCTAACTAACTTCAATAAATTACTAACGCCTTGTTCTTGTGCATCCATACTTTCATTTTTTTATACGTACTCCATTGTGGTTTTGTTGATATACTGACCGAAACGCAAAATGCTACATAAAAGTAAACATCTTACATTTAAAATAATATGTAATAATATGTAATGATAAGTAATAAGTTTGAACTTTGCTATTACAAAAACTTTCATCAATACTAGCAAAAAGATTCTTGTATAAAAAATATAGACATAATTATTATATAGAGAGATTATTTCTCTTTCTTTTTTGTTATCGTATTTAATGTAACATCAAACTTTATTTAAAATTCATTGAAAATTAGTTTGTCTTTAATATGAATTAAAGAATATAGGAAAATATTTTGAATTTTTAGTTTCAGGTCAGATTGTTAAATGTTTAACACTGAACCTTCCTACAATTTTTACTGCTATTCTTATCGCGTGGTCAAATTTAGCGGGTAGTTTGGCTAGACTTTTTTTTTTGTAAAAAAAATATATATCCAGAAGTAAAGAGTGAAGAAAATATTAAATGCATATTTTGAGAATTGCCATATAGTTCAATAGTATTATAACGTTTAAAAATGTGCAGTTTTATAAAAAGTTCGCAAACGGTCAATTTTTAAATTGAAATACTAACAAAAATTGATAATAACAAATAAAACAAATTATATGAGTTCTGTGTAAGACAAAGGCCAAAAAGAGAAATGGACAAGACAATATTAGTGCTACAACCGAACTAGTGGGCATCTAGCCTTAAGGCAAATTGCTGGAACTTCCCGTACCAAATATTACTATTTTTTTAAAAACGATTAACATTTTTGAAAAAAAATTACTTAAAAAAAATTAGATTTTTAAGAAACTATGAATTTGACAAAAAATTCATTTTTTTTGAAAAAAAAAATGTTTTCTTTATTTTGACATATTTTGGAAATTCTGAACTTTTTTTCGAAGCAATCGTACTGCTTTAACTGCATAGAGACGAAATATCAAAGCGCGTAAGCGACGCGTCGCCGTCTAACGGATAAACATTGGTACGGAACCCATAGGAATTGTTAAAATCTCTATAAAATATCTGATAATTTGATGTGCATATGTCTAATGATCATTTTTGACCTCCAGATGGCATTTTTTTTTACTTTTTTTTACTAGATCTCCGAAACCGCTAGAATTGCCTTCATGAAAATTTGATCAGTTCTTCATCTTGTTAATACAAGTGAAATGTTTTTTGAATTATTCAAATCGGACGCTCCGTTCTCTTAAAAACTGAGTTACCGTTTTCGGCACATTTTGCCTCGTATCTTCGGAACGGCTAGGCCCACCTTGGCCAAAAACAAATCAGCACGTTTCCTTATCAATACGAATCGGAAGTTTTTTGAATTATTCAAATCGGTTGATCGGTGTTCCCGAAATCGTCGACGAAAATTTGTATCCACACACACACACACACACGCACACACACATACACACACACACACACACAAATACAACCATTTTTTCTAAGGTATGCCAAAAAACTCAAACCCTTGCAACGTAAAGATATATAAAAATTTTCATTTTCGATTTTTTTGCGATTACTGTATCTTGCTCTATGGGAAGTTAAAAATGTGTTGTTTTACAAAAAGTTCGCAAACGGTCAATTTTCAAATTGAAATACTAACAAAAGAATGATAATAAGAAATAAAGCAAATTAAATAAGTTCTGTGTAAGACAAATGCCAAAAAGTGAAATGCTATTAGTGCTACTTTAACCGAACAAAATATCGAAATTTCCAAAAATATAAATAAGCCATATTTAATACAGATGAATAAGTTTTTTTTGCTATATGTCATTAGATTAATATAATCTGACCAAGGTGCTAAACTATGCCTGATTACAAACTTGATCTTATGGTCATATTTTTTTTCAGTTTGACATCCCTGGTATTTGTGCTGTAATGGTTCCATGTAATAACTATATCATTTACGTTAGTTCAATAAGCCCTCGTTGGGTGAGTGTTGTGGAAAAATCAATGAAAGACAAATGTGCAAACAAAGCCATAGAGCCACACAGCTTATGTGACGCGATGTCAGTAGGTCGTCGCGTGCATGTCCTTCACAAAGTAGAGACCAACAGGCTTCCAACTTGTTAGTCAGTTCAACTTGATATTTCCATTTGAGCTTCAATATTTGTAATTAAAAATGTACACGTAAGAATAAATTTGGAACTTCTCATCTAATTTGCATCGATTTGAATAATAACAACCATTATTAAAAATTGTTATGGATTCTGTATCAAAATATATTTTATTTTAACATGATTATTTATTTGCCAATATTGAAACTTTGGTCAGGGGAAAGTCCCGTAACGCCGGACGGCACCAAAGACCGGACACTCTATTTAACACGTATTATTTAAGCGAGTATAAATCTTTTCATTTCAAAATACTAGTGAAAGGCAAACAGGTGCAGGATCACGCGCCAAGACTCAACTGTGACGCACACGGCCACGGCGGTAGCAACTCTTTGCTGTTTTAGGCGCAAAATCACGGCGTCACCTAAATATCAATGGAAGTAATTCACTCATTTACATTTGAGTGGTATGCAAAGATAAAAGTTGTACTTGATTGTTATCCGTAAAATAGTAGAATATCATTAGATCTTTTAACCAATTTTAGTAGGTGCCATCAAATGAACGAAAATGTCTGTCGCTTAGCACCGGACACTAAGTCGTCCCTTAGTGCCAGACAGTAAACATATTGATGTTTCTTGTGAGAATTTACGTAATTTATTCCAATTATTTAATTTTATTCTGTATGAGTGCTAACGGCCACTACATACCCACATTTTTCGTATTTCCTAGTCAAAGAATAAAAAGCTTATGAATGAACCAGCCAAAAGGGAGGATGAATAGTGACTTTTTTTGCAATATCTAAGAATATTTGTTAAAGACACATGTGCAGACATTCTTGGAGATGGCTACATATGTGATCAATGCAGGTTATTTTGAAATGTCCGGTAGGTGCCACTGTTTAAAATCATATTTTTTGATAGCAAAGTAAAATATTTGTTGTAAAATAATTTGTACTTGTGGACTTTCCCCTATATTTGGTTTTGCAATGGGACTGCTCCGTATCAATAATCATAAGTTTACTAATAACTCTATAAAAAACTAACAATAAGGATTTTTTATATAAAATATTTTTTTAAGCATTTTTTCAGAACAGTGGTTTGCAGTTACGAACAATATATACATTCGTCAATATTCAATTAGTGTATAGCACTCAAAAGTTCACGTGATTTCGCGACGTGAGAAAAACATTAATTTCTTCAAAAATTCTGACGATATATGCTATTTATGTTATGTAAAGCATTTTGCATATACCTATTTAGCTATCTGATAAAACATAATAGCATAGACACACGCACGCATATATATATATATATATTTATATATATATATGTATATATATTTATATATATATATATATATATATATATGCGCAAAAATATTTCTAGAATACCAAAAATTTATTTAAAATACAATATTTATTTAAAATATAATAAATAAAATTAATAACTGACAATTT